GAAAAATGGGTTCTGCAGTTGGAAGATCATTGATCAACTAGGACAATTTACCCTTTTCTCTCTTTTCTGCCCTTAGTCATCTGCAGGCCATCTTTGATTTCATCTCCCTAGTTCTGAGGCCATAGGTTGTGTCCCTCACCAGGATTCTGTTATCCGGTCATTTAATGCCCATTATCACATAGGAAATACCGTTATGGGGTGACTCAGGATAGAGATAGTAAAGAGATGATTAAAACCTGGCAGTTTTTTGAGGGGACTTGAGATAATCATCCTCCTCATTTCATGATGGCTAAAATCACCAGCCTTCTCCTGTTTTATTTCATTTTTTCTCTTCATCTCTTCCACATAGGCACTCAGTCTAATGTGCTTGATATATGTCCTTGATTATGTATGATTCCATGTAAAATATCTGGTGTTCCTTTGCATATGTAGTTAACGTAAGTAGTACAGTGTTCTAGGTCTTGTTTCGTTTCTTACATGTTTCTATACTCAGGTCTAGTTCAGTGTTTCTGATGCTGCAGTGATTTGCATGGTAGGTAGCCCTCTACCTTCTGTTCTTCTCCTCTCCCCTAGCCTGAACTCAGTTCCTCATACCAAAGTCTGTGATGCTAGGATGACCATGCCTATACGTCTGTGTGAGAGTTTGAGGTGTGTTCCCAGGAACAGATCCTGGTTATATAGAGTTACTGGCTATAGAAAAGATGGACTGAATCAGTTTACAGTCTCATTAGCCGCAGAGGAGGTCCTCATCTTCTGACATTCTTGTTAACACTTGGTATTTCCTGTCTGCCTGATTTGTGGGTATAAAGTGGTGTCAATTTTCCTATTTCTGATTATTAGTGAGGTGGGGGATCTCACTATATACTTGATAGCCATTTGGGCTGCTTCTTCTCTGAATATTCTATTTTTTCTATTGCATTTCATGCCTTTTTCTTGTTGATTTGGAAAACCTACCAGCATATTCCTGATATTAATCCCATGACATTTCAGACATTGAGAAAATTGCAAAAATTTTCTCTCCAAGGGTTTGGTTGCTAACATTTGGCTTAAGGCTTTTGCTGTCTTCCTTTAATTGTGGGTGAGAGTAAAAGTTGGGTAAGAGAGGCTCTTATTGCTTTCCTGTGGAAAATTCCGCAAGGACTTTCAATTTACTAATTTATCCCCATGTCTACGTGCAGTCTTAAGTAAATGTAACTACCAGATGTCAGTTAGAGCCCTCTCTTCAGAGCAAGGTGAAATTGCTTTAAAAAACTCTTCTCTCAATTTTTTGAAACCAGATAAGGTAACCTCCAGAATTCTATGAATTCTCAGATAATTATATTATGAGTGTCCCCTTTGCTTTGGGGCTCTCCTGCTCCATATCTACATGATAGCTGAGTGTCCCTTTTCATTTCTTCCTGTAAGAAATTCATCTGCACCATGCATTTGCCAATTTTAAGTTGATTATGCAAAGTTGAGGGAGTCACAGTATGGTATCACGTCTTGAAACTTAAGTGTTTCCATCACCTTGTTTCTTTCTCCTCCCCCCGCCCCCATTGCCATAAATTCTCTTCCTCCCTTATGCAGAGCAATTTGGCTCTCCCAAAACTTAACTACTTAGACCCCAAAATGCTTAGCAAAACAAAATGTCCTCTTGTTAAGCTGACACCTCTAGAAGCCAGCTGGGTTATAAATAGATCCTGCAAAGAGAAATTACTCTTTAATATTGCAAATCAACGAGTGGCTTTGCAATAGACACAACCTAATGAGAAGTGAGGTAGCCTTTCTCCAGCATGCACCTGTTTTTGCATTAGGGTAGGAGAGTCTTTTGGAAGGGGAATGGTAAACATTTTCAGAGCAGAGTCTCCTTTTCTCTTTCTTGAGGAGCTAAGGCTTTATGCTGGTCTTATTAGTGCAGGTTGTAAAAAGAACACAGATCTTGGAATCCTACATGCTCTGACACTTGTCACCTGCATGATGTTGGATATGTTGCTTATTCACACTGAGCCTCCATTTCCCCGTTGTCAAATGAGGATACTAGCACCTACTTTACAGGTTTGTTTGGAGGATTGGAGGTAAATAGAGGGCCAAGTACAATTCCTGGCATAGAGTAGGTGTTCATTACCTGGTGGACCATTATTATATACTCCAGTGTGACCGTGAAGAACTCTGGACGGCAGCACATACACCTGGCACATCCTTTGGGATGGCTCATGAGACTCTCGAGTGGCAAGTAACTAATGAGTAGTATTTTTGTCAAAGTGCTGGAGAAAATAAAGGTGAATTTTCTGAAATGTTCAATTGGATTCTTACAAAGCAGCTCACTTACCAATGAATGATCCTTGGTGGTCTTGGGTTCTTCATCTTTTGATATAATGTATTGTTACAAAGACTCTATTTGGCTTTGACTTCAGGTAGTGGAGAGAAATCCTGAACTGTCTCTTCAAGGCTAAAAATACCCATAGGGAAAATCAGAACATCCTTAGAATTCAAATACACCTGAATATCTGCAACAAATAAGACTGCAGCATCTTTCTAGGACTCAGGGTAAAACTGAGGAGTGTTTTTCATATCTCTGTACCCTTTGGGATTTGTAGGCACAAGAATTTTCAGATTTGCTAACTTGAAGATGTTTTACTCTATACACATCTGCCTCCCTCATTGCAATTAGTATTACGAGCAAGAAAGTTAAAAGGAGATAACGAGGATGTTAGTCTGTCCTGAGAGAAGAAGAGTGTTCATTATAACTTCATCTGCTTCACTTTTCATATGCGTTGTTTTCAAAAGTGTTTGCCCCAAAGTAAAGTTTTGTGTGGAAAAAATAAAAGTTTCTATTGGCTTCTACAAAATTTTCAGCTAGATATTTGTATAGAAAAAAATTTGCCCTTGAAATGAGCCACCTATAAGAAAAAACTGATATTGTATAATTAAATGAATAGTCTATTCAGTTTTTTCAGCTACTGCAAGAAAATGTACCAAGTGGACACTTTACATGACCAGTTTGTATTAAATTCAAAGCCCCTATACATGCAAATTCAGGTTACAGTGAAATATAGGTTTAGTTGTTTGTTGATCTTCGTAATTCTCTTTGGGCCTTGAGAGCCCATATGTGCCCTTTCTCCAATCAGAAGAACTCGTTGGCTGGAGGAACCCCTGTCTCAGATCACTGCACACTGTCTAAGCTCTGTTTATTGCCCCAGGGCCCAGGGTCCCTTATTTCACTCCACTTGCCACCTCATCTGCCACCCAGTCTAAATGGGCTCTGCCCAGCTGAGGGAGTGGACACCGACTTGCCCTCCTTGGGAGATTGCTTTTGTTCCTGAAGCATGAGATGCCACAGGACCTGCTCTGTGGCCAGGCATGTACAACCTCCACTCCAAGTTTGTATCAACCTCATTTTTGATAATGGGAGATGAGAGCTGGTAGATGAATTCTCATTTCAAACATTGTTTAAACATTTGTTCAAACATTTAATGTGTCAGAACTTGTGTACATGAACCTAACAACAATTCTACTTATTTACAATGTGCCCTAAGTAGCTAAATATGAAACCAGGACGAGCTATCATCTCAAGGTGAGGAAGCAAACCAACTTTGTCTTCTGGCTCCTCTTCATTCTAGATTATTAGTATTGTCCAGTTTTGTGACATGACACCAGCTCCATAACCCAAATCAAGCCATTAGATATCACATTAGTTCTGAGTTGGCTTTGCCTGTGTAAAGGGGTAAAGAACTGTATGTAGCTGGAATATATATATAAAACTCTCCAATAGAAAATGAATAATGTAATTTCCTGGGGGAGGGAAACGTGTTCATTAGGGTGAATTTGAGAGGTACATATTGTAGAAAAGAGGTAAATATAAAAGTTATACACAGTCCTTTGAATAGAATGGGAAGAGAGAATGTAATCAGATACTTCTTGTGGAGAGTATTTATTTGGGTCACGACCTGGCCAAATTGTACTAGGCTTCCTTTGTGTTAAGGTGACTCCATTGCTGTACTGAAAACGGGTGTGCTTTCAGGTTTCACTTTTGGCATGGACATTTGTTGCCTTGGCTTGCTCGCTCTTCCTCCACACTTCTTCTAGTAGCAAGGCTTAGAATGTTCTTTGAGAAATCATTCCTGCCCCAACTCTCAGTCCATAGTTTAGATGGGGCTGATTATCCCTGTTCCCTACCCCTCCCTCCTGCCCCCCCAGTTCCATGATTTCAGCAGATTAAGTTAATTAGCATATCTGTTCTCCTGAGAAAAGTGATTGGCTCAGGAATGGGCACATGACTCAGTTTGGGCCAATGAGGATTTGGCCCACCATTTGTACTGAAACTGCTGGGGAAAAACAAACTCTCTTTCCACTGGTTTGGAGCCATAAGGCTAATCTTAGAGCTACTGGGGGCCACTATAAGATAAAAGGCTTTGTGAGCATGAAGTCTACCTGAAGGAAATTTCTGCAGAGGAAAATCTACACAGAGAGATGAAAAGAGGCACTTCCTGACAATACTGAGTGAGCACCCAGACTCAGTCATGCCTGAAGCTACCTTACCCTTGGACTTTCCAGATATTACAGTCAAGAAATTCCCTTTATGCTTAAGCCAGTTTGATTTAGCTTTCTGTCACTCATCACAGAAAGAGTCTCAACATGTGTTCAGGGCAATGGGGATTGAGATATATGTTGATAGTGTATTAGTACAATATTAGTATTATATTAGTATAATTCCACTAATAATATTCTGAAACATTTCGTTATAAGATTATAGTCCTTGAGCTGCAAAAACTTAACTCTTCACTCCTCACCCCATCTTTGTGGTCCCTTCAAAGAGGTAATCCTTCATCAGCCTTTTCCTTCTCTCTTTCCCTTCCCCCGACACCAGCCTCCCAAGAAATTTGCATATTCTAGTAGATGTTTATGAAACTAATGCCCTTATATCTGCATTTCCCTCCTTTTGGAAGCAGCTGAGATGAGAAGAGCAGGCAACTCAGTTCCTATTTAGAAAATAATAATATGTAAAGAAAGAGACAGGAAAGTATATCCATTATAAGCTTTTTCTTTTTTTTCTTTTTTAGAATTGAAGCTTATGAGTTTATCTATGCCCACTATATTCATAATTACAATTTAATATCTGCATACAAAAGCTATGTAAAAATCCATTTTTCCCAAATATACAAATTTTCTTTTCAGAGAGTTTAAAACATTTTGATCACAGATTTCAACAGAGTTTTAGGCTGAAAGAAAATATTACCAGTCTAGCAATATCACTTAACACTGTTTGCAAAACAAATCTTCTGATGACTGTAAATCTTTTCCTATTCTGTAGTATTTTCCTGATTCACAGGGCATGAAAATGTTATGGGGGGAAAAAGGTGTTTTCTCTGAAGAAGGCATGGAGAACTAATTTGGCTCTATAATCAAATGAAAAATGCCAAGTTATTTAGGAAGAACCAAAAGAAAAAAGTGGCATAATGTCAGCTCATTCATGCCCTGGTATCTTCTATGTCAACAATGCATGTGTAATTAAGCAGAGTGTCTTCTTTTGTCTTACATTGTGCTCCATAATTTACATGACTATTATCTGCATCCTGAGGACGACAGATTTACATTTGATTGTCTTGTGCATAAGGTGGGTCAGCTTCAACTGTGCAACAGAAAGCCACAAACAGCGTTTTACCTGCACGATATTGCTTTTGAAGGCGGCATTAATTAATGTGGAAACACACTAGAAATGCACACTTTTTGCATTTGCAAACATTTATACAGCACAGTAAAAATTCTGTGATAAGGCCAAACCTTTTTTTCCCCCCCCCCAGTCTGTTTTTTTGTTTGTGTTTTTAATGTACTTTTTTTTTTAAAGATTAAAGTAAAATGTTTCAATTGTAAAAAATACACACCGGGCAAATCCTTACCTGGATAATAAATATCTACATCACAGTACAATAAAATTTCTTCTCTATAAAATTTAAATATGGATTATAGTCTATCACTATCAAAAGAAACACTATGCTAATATTTCCATATTATTAAAATAACAGGAAAAATTACAAGCTTATTTTAGAACGTGGTGCCATAGCCGGTGGAAAGGGCAAAGAGATTCAAATGTCCGTAAGCACTCCCCTTTTGGAGAGGAACTGTGGCTTGGTTATTTACTTAAATTCAGTTTATGAAAAAGGTTTAGCCTTACAAACGCTGGCTACATTTCAAAAAACCATAAGACCGATTTCATAATTTATGACTCATGCAGCAAAAGGTCAATATGACACGAATAGGTTAGAGTTCCGTAGAATAAAAATGTATCACTGACAATGACATGCTTTGAGTGTGCTCAGCAGTTGCGTGGAGCCTGAGTCTGTGGGGGTTGGGGGTTAGTATTGAGGAGGGGCCAAGGCTTGCACACCTGTTCACGGAAGAGCAATGAGAATGGCGTTGCTGGAGCAGAGCTGAGCCTGGTGGTCCACTCGATGACCATGCTGCCAATGGAAGAGGTGTCACTCGGGGCACAGGTGAGGGGACAGCACTGGGCTGAGGCATCAACACGGCAAGCGCGTCATTGAGGACTGAGGCTCATTTGACTAGAAAAAGCTCTGAGGCGGCACATGGTGTTTTGAGCAGAATCATAAAGAAGAAAAGATCTTACTTTTTTCACTATTTCTGGAAATACTGCACGTCTAAATTGAAGAGTAAAGTACACTTGAGGGTTATGAAGACACCCTCCCCACCCCACACCACTCATCTCGAAAAGTTAAGTGATTTATAAATAAGAATCCCAGTTGTACAGGTGTGTTCTCCTCTGCTGGGCTATCTCCCCGCTGTGAGGGGTTTCAATCAAGTCCACACTTGGTCTGAAAGTTCAGACAATATAAGAAAAAAAGTTAAAAAAATAATCCAAAGCAAATCCCTCCTAATCAAGTTTTATGAGATGGAGTCTTGAGATGCACTACGTACCTCAGTTACAGAAGAAACGAGTCACTTCGACCACTGGGGTCAGGAGCCTTTGAGTCCTTATAGCCTTTCCTTTCAACCTAAAGTACTTTAAGGCATGTCCTACTCAGCTTCAAGTATTCAGCCTTCAACAAGATTTTTAGATCAGCGGTTTGCCTGTTTAGGGCAATCATTCAAGGAGCCGAGGACCAAACATAAATTTATGTGGGGCTGGCTGGATTACTGTAGATAGACTGTACCATTTGGCCAATGCCCAATCATAGTTAATTGTCAAAGCATCCCAATGTACCTTAAGAACAGGCTCTGTCCATACATTCAAATCTGGGAGTGTCTGATGTACTGGGGAATCTCTGACAAATTGAGGAAACTTTCCCGGGACATCTTGATGCCCAAGGAGTCTATGAACCCTCCAGTGCCCACCTGTTTGCCTTCCTCTCCTTCCCTTCTGAGGGAAAGCTTGCTCCACACCGCAAAGCTTAGTTATTCTGGAACTAGAAGGTGATTGATGAAGCGGTCATGTTTGAAGGAGTAGTTCTTCAACAAGAGAGGGAGCTGAGATGTTAATAAAGCACAGACTTAAGGAGACGGGCTAGAGGGCTGTCTAGAGAGAAGAAAACCAAAAAAACTGTCTGTAGATAAAGTCAAAGCAGGTAATCTACCCAAGAACTTCATGTTTATAACTTTAATCTCTTCACCTACTTCCTTTCTCTGGTTAGCAAGTTCCATAGTGATGTTCTTTTTCCTTTTCCCCAGAAGCCAGTATAATTGTTTCAGTGCATTAAACATATCATTTTCCTCCCAGATTGTTTCCAATGCTGTTCATCTCCTTTTTCCAAGGCCATGCTGCATTTCTCTAAAGTTGATTAGTACGTCAAATTCTTATTTTGAATGAATACTAAATATACTTTTCTTAACTGTTAAGAGGGACATAATTTTTGTCTAATAAAGCTAGAAATTTGAATATGAAAGAAATAATCAAAAGAACCAGGTTCTCCCCCCCTTGAAATTAGTACAATATTAAGGATGGGAAGGATTTTAGAGTTCATGACTTATTCACCAGGTGAGAAAACCAAGACCCAAAGTCACAAATCTACAAGTCGACAGAGCACAAACTAGAACTTATGCACCCTGACTTCTGGGCCAATTAAAAAAAATTAGTCCACTTGGTTTTCACAGTGACTTTCATTCTTTTGTTTTTAGGTAAATCTTACTGATATGGCTTATTTTCCCCAATATTTCCAGGATAAGGCAGTACAAGGCAAGCAAAGGAATAGTTTATGACTACTATCCAGTGAAGAATGAGATACATTCAATTGCATGGGAATATTCTTTGCCCATTTTCTGACACTGAAGGGATCAAGGGTTACCATTTATTTTCCGAGCACAAGCTACTCCAGTGTTTGCCATTGGGGAGGAGGGCTGGGCAGGGAAGGTGAGTGAGGGTTCGTGTACATGGCGGCAGGACTGTTGAATATATGTCAGGGCAATGATATAAGAGGGACGGAGTGGGTCAGTCTTTGTTTAGCGACAGTCCAGCCTCAGAGTCAGAGGGAAAAGGGGACTAGACAGTATTTGTGAGTAGAGCAAAGAGCTTGAGGATCTAAGACCAGAAGGAAGCATCCCCAAACCATCAGTCCATGCAGGGGGCTCTCAGAACACGGCATTTCCTTCAACCCAGAATATAACCACCTTAATCTCTCCTTAGAATTCCTCCAGAACAAGTCTCAAATTTCAGCTTGTTCTTTCTCCTTGATTAGAAGATTTGATCCGTAGGGAAATCTGTTGTCAGCTTAGCAAAGATGCAATCAGGATAAATAACTTCAGGAGTTTGGGAGATGACAGATCAGATGTCATTGAAAAGTGATGATGCTTTGTAAATAGGTTTGATTTCTGTGGAAATTTTTCTCTGAGCCTAAGCTGTAAAGAAGCCTTCCTCCTATGAGGTAATACTATGTGAATTTTTGGAAACTGTTGAATCACTGACATTGGTGAAGATTTCTAATTTCTTTGGGCTCACTGAAGAAAATTGTTTTCCTTGTTGGTTTCAGTCAAATACCTGCCCATCTTTGAGTCACACCCTTGTATGATTTGAATTCAATCATACGATTATAAAAATTGATATTTTGGGAACAAATATTCCTGTACATTCCAAGTTATGCTGCTAGGAGAGAATGAAGACTGCTGAAAACATCATGCTCTTGAACAGATAAAAATTTGTTGAGACCTTTCCCTAGAAAGTTGAAAACCCACATCTAACCAAAGGTGGTGTGTGCCCTGCTAACTTGAGCCCTGCAAAAAGCAGGATTGGATCAAGATGACCATATTATGTTGATTTTAAGGCTTCTTTAGTCTTCTGCTGTGCCATTTTGCTTGCTTGAGTCTCTGACCAGGGACAGATGGGAGCTGGTGATGGCTTGTTGCTGGTGAATTAATGATTGTCCCCACCCCCACCTCCACAACTGTAAAACCTTCAAAGCATTCACATCAAAGGACTGGAGAACAAAATGCAATAGTTACAAGTACCCGCATTTGAGGGGCAATTTCATCCATGTCTATGCCAAGGACTACCTTCTTTTATCCCCAAACAATCCCTCCCAACACAAAGCAACAAAGGAACAAACAAAAAAGAGCTAGGCAATGGAATGAAATGACACCCAGTAGTGCTGTGGGAATTATGAGAATGAATTCAGTCAATCTAATCTTCGAACACTTCCAAGAACAACGGGGGGAAGAGTTCCGTGGGGCATTCCACCTTCATGTGCAGGAAGCGGCTGGCATGGCAGGCTCCAATCATCCGCAGGTCTGTCACCTTCATCAGGAGTTTTGGCCAAAAGTGTGTCACGTGATGTTTTCGGTAATTGATATAGTGTTCAAAGGCCAGCAGGAAACTATCTTGGTATTTTTCTATCCTCTCAACACAGGCAAGCCCTGGGCGATCTGAGAGGAAGAAAGAAGATGGACGTTAAGTCAGAGGCAGCAAGGAGACTTGTCTAATTCAAGTCTTTTAGTGTGAAGTGGCCAGATCTGGGGACTTCTCGATCCTAGGAATGACCATAGATGTAACATGAACTCTGGAGCATAAGGCACCAAGATACTGGGGAGTGGCATCATTTATATGAAGGGAATAGATGCTTTGTTCATCTCTGTTTTAGACAAATCACCTCCTTGGCTGTGAACAGTGATGTCTCCCTCCAGGGTACCAAAGGAGAAGCCCTACCTGGAGGGCTGAAATACTCTGCATAATGAGGGGAAAGATTTTGAGTTTCTGCTGGCTGCCTGGGAGAGAGGGGAGGACAAGCATGGACGTGCAGAGATGGGGGAGATGTGAAAAGAGGTTAGGAACATCTCAGGAGGCCGGGATGCCAAAGGGGGAAAGTTGGACCCTAAGAGATTCCCATGAAGACAAAGAGGCACAATATCCAATTTTAGTTGTTTGCCAGGCTGTAATGACACTCCTTCCCTTCCTCTACACCTTCAGTAAAATTACTACGTGTGGCAGCCTTGTGTTCGTGGTGCCTTGGGAATTACAATGAAAAGAAAAGAGGACGTGAGCCATGCTAGAGTCACCCTGTGCAGAGAAGAGAAGAGTCACAGTGGGAAGCAGGAGTAAGGGGAGACCGTGATGGTGTCTGGGAAATCTTCCCAAGTCTTGGGAGGACCACTGGTTCCCACAATATTTGGGAGGCGACTCAAGGCAGTTTCGAGAAATGATAAAGGGGTGTCACGAGAAGGCTGGATGACTGTGGAACATCCAGGCTGCAAACACTAGGTTACAAAAGTAATTTATAAACCTGGATGAATTCCTCATTTAGCTCCAGGAAGTCCTACCATCCCCCTGCCCAGTTCTCCTGAGGGTGCTCTTTGTAGCTCTGATCAAATAAATTCACACTCCAAGTGTCCAGTTAGTGAAGTATGTGTATTAGCAAAAATCTAGAGTTCTGCTTAATCTGAAAGGAAGGATCAGGGCTGATGTCTCAATCCATCCTTCTGAGTCTAAACAAAAATCTCTGGGCTTTTGGACTCCTTATTTGGCTCAAAGTGCAATTTGTGCATTTTTATTTTGTGGTTTCCTTAATTTTTGACGATGCTGCTCTATTCACTCCCTCTCTCTTCCTCTTTCCTGTCTTCTCTCTTTCTTTGAGTGTGCCAGAAGAATTCTCCACAGGAGCCTTTAACTTTTGATCCAAACAGAAAATGAACATAATATTGCTCTGGATGTATTCCTTCAAAGGGAAAAAATAATCTGAATTTGTCAAAACTCTGCCCTTTGATGAGAGAGAGATAAAGACAAGGTGGTCATATAAATGATATAGAGAAGATGAATGGACATTTTGATGATGCTAAGTTGTACTAAACATGTTTATGAATAAACATTTTAAAGGTTAAAGACTGTCTTTAACTCCTTAAGACAAAATTTCTCAAAGATATGTCTTTTGGATCATTTTCAGTTTAGCTCTCTGCTTATCACTGCAGGACCAAGGGTCTTAGCAGTAGTAGTTTCTGGAAAAGTCTTTGAAGAAAAGGCCTAAGATATTCTGTAACAGAAATGCCAAACAAAACAATAGGGCTTAGAAGATAATACTGAGGAGGCGTTGGAGACTCAGAGCAGCTAAAAAATTGCCTTGAATCCCCCCTCCAGGAATGTAATTCCCATGTATTTAGTTCAATTTCTTTATTTTAAAGGACACTGAAGCCCTGCTAGAGGAGAGGCTGCATGGAGAAAGGCCTAGAGCCTTGTTTGATGTCTCAGCCCCAAACCTAGCCATTTTGGATGTCGGGTGATATGCTAAAGCAATAAATAATTGAAACTTAAGTTGTAGCCAAGCTATGAAGAAATTCTAGCTCTCACTCATGGTTTCCTCACACAGAACTTAATAAAGAATGGTGTGGTCCCTCATACCCATATCCAGAAAACCAAAAGGGAGTAGGGTTGGCTAACTATCATGAGGAGACTGGGTAGGCCCATTGAAGGTGGATCATTCCATATAATCTGTAAGATAGCTCTGTTGGTTCCTTCCCACTACTCTGGGAGACTGCAAAAAGCATCAGACATCTGACACAATCCTTCAGTTCCCAGTCCACTGGCAAACCCAGAATTCCTCGCTGAAGGAGAGTGAGCTGTGATTTTGAAGCTAAATGGGCACTGAAAACTCATCAAGTGATTTGAATCAGCACCAGATGCCTAGTAATGAGTCTGGGCATACTCACCTGAAGACATCAGCAGGACAGCCTGAAGGAGAGCTACTTCAGTGTCATCCAGGTTGAAAGAAGACAGCGACATGCCCAGGTCAAAGATGGCATCCGACACCACCCCTAGACCCCCATTTTTCAGCTGGCCCCGTGTCACTGCCATTTCCCCATTCAGGGTTAAAGTCTCACTTTCTGGGTCGTAGCGCACAGCCGCGCGAAGAGACATGATTTCCATGCAGCAGCCTTTGAGGAGGATGATCTGGTCTTCACATGGCAGCTGAAAAGAACCAGCCCACATCAGCAGAGAACAAGCGGACACATGGCAGGCAGGAACAACACTCGGCATCTTAGCGGCAACAGGAACAACATCCTGTGATTGACACTAGTCCCGCGCTCTTCCAGCCTGTGGCTTTCCCTTCCTACCTGGCTGCAGACTTTCAACAACCATTTCTCATACTCCATGTTGGTCTAATTTTCACCAACTTTAATCCCAGTAGTTTGCATTTCTTTTATGATAGACATAGAGCTCCAACTGGTATTACAGTCACTTGTGAAACTGATAATCCCTTACTCAGGGCTTTGCATTATAACCCAACTGGTAACTGCTTGAGAGCAGGGTTTATGTTAAACTTACCAACATTTTTGTCTTGTAGCTCTAATAGACAACAGCTAACTATACTGTTTAGCTGGCAACTGTGCTTCTCTTTGTTTTTTGAAGCAACTTTGCTCCTTGAGTCTCTTAAAAAGCACAGAGCTAGAAGGTAGCTTACAGACGCATGTTACCCATGAGGCCCTGGGATGCAAAAGCTTTGCCAAGCTCACCCTGTGAGTTAGGGGCAGAGATGAGAGATGAGAATTCAGACCTCCTGGCTCCTAGGGTTTTGTTCTTCTCAGTACCTCAGGCAGCAGAATGACTCCACACACTGGATCTTTCTGCTGGTGGTGTAATCTCATTTTAAGCTCATTCGGTTGCCCTGTTTATTAGGATTTGTGATAACATTAATAATAAACTTAAAAAAGAGAACTTTCCTAAGCAAAATAATAAAAAAATCAGAGTTTTATTTTCTGGAGGGGAAGAATGTTTAATTAAATGCCATTATCAAAATAGTTTGAAAGGCTATTAGCTAATGGGTGTTTTTGATGCATTGGGCATCATGCTACGATTTACGTGCGTCATCTTATTTAATCTTCACAGCAATGCAGTGAGGTAAATATTCTAATTCCAGTTTTATTTACAGATGTGGAAATCCAGGCACTGAGAGTTTGAGTAACATGCTTGGGGGTCACATGAATGTTTTGTGGGTGAGGCTAGGATGTGAAGCCAGATCTGTTAGAATCGGAAGCCAAGAGAAGAAGAGAATACACCCTTTTGAAGTACTTTGGATGTGACTAAGTTTCCATAAACAATGAAGATGTAAATTACACATAATTTCCCTCTCTTCATTAAAGCGGGTACAAATTCTTTTTGGGAATTACTGTCGGCAACAGTCGACTGGTTCAATTTAGGTTATTATACAAAACCGAAAGAAATATTACTGAATAACATTTAAAATACTGGGTCTTTAATATTTTTCACCAACTCGACCTAGGCACCTTACCATTTAATTTGAAATTGCTTAGCTTTTTCTACAGAATAAAAGTCACTTCATATTTGGTTCTGCAATCTGTACATGTGAATTCTCTCCTTCCACTTGACAAATAGAAATGGCAAGCAATAGAATATATTGGAGTATACGAGGAAGCCATTTGGTGTAAACCTAATTCGGCCTGACTTTGTTTTTCCCAAAAGGGCCTGACATGGCCATTGAGCATGCATTGTATATCTGCTTAAGCCTTTGCTATGTCCCACAGACAAGAACAAATGCCCTTAAGATAAAGGTGCAACTTCCCCCTACATTGGCATTTCCTTAAGGATAAGCATCTCTCCCTAGTCTAGGAACTGATTGCTGCACTCACCTGAGACCACTCAGCTTGAGACAACAGATCTGCCACCCTGCTGTGTCTACCCAGACAGCCGACCTACTACCTTCTCTGTCCATCAATCGCTGTGCTGACAGAGCAGTTTTGTGACTACTGTAAAAGGGACATTTCAATCATATGTGAAACATCCTCTTTGAGAGTATATAACCACTCTGTACACCCCAGTTCTTTGGTGCCCTTCTTTCCTTCAGGAAGGAAGGCCCCGGGCTATGGTCCTCACATTTTGGCTCAGAATAAACTCACCCAAATTTTCATTTATAGTTGGTTATGGATTATTTTCATTGACACACTCATTGAAAAAAAAAATGACCTTGATTTGATTTATTTAGGTTCTAATTTGTACTCCTCAATTACATGCTTGGATTCCTGACCTGAGAGTATGGTAGGAAATAGGAAACCCAAGCTTGGATGGATCCTCCACAGGGAAGATGGAGAATTGGCTGAAGTGGGCAGAGGCTGGCTTTAATGCCTAGGACAGTGGTTCTGACTTCAGCCCCATCAGGATCACCTGAGGGCTTGTTAAACACACATTGCTGGCCCCACCCTTTGAGTTTCTGCATTTCTCCAAGATCCCAGGTGATGCACATGCTGCTAGTTGGGGACCCCACTCTTGAGCACCACAGGCATGGAATAGCAAAGAGAAATTTCTAACCACATCAAACCATTTATTATTATTTTTATCTGTAACAAAGTATGCAAACTTGGGCAGGCCCATCTTTGTGGCCACGTCTGATTATAGGTGAAGTAGAAGTTTTCTTTTTAAAACTTCCTAACTGTTGATCAGTTCAAATTTAAATTCAAGTTGAATAAGTATTTGTCAAGGATCACCAACAGTTTAAAAACTAGGCCAGATGCCTTTTCCTTTAAGACAGGTTTGTAGGATCCTGGCGAGATTTGTTTCAACACGTGAGCAAATAAACTCTTAGTCACCTGCCAAAATTCTTTCATTGTGAGAATGCTCGAAGAAAGGCATGACAGGCAGAGATGCAGGGTTCCTCCCACAGTCTCTTCCTGTCTCCTTAGGAGAACAAGACTCAGGTTGATTGGCAAAGATGACAGTACCCCGCACTCTATAAGTGGTCCTTATGTGTGTTTTTGGCAGCTCTTCCTGCGATGATTTTAGATGGTTTGAAGCTCTAGATGTCCACCAACCTTGTCTGGTGCGTTGGCATGGATCTTAGCAGAAAATACCGTGAGCACAATTTGAACGGCAGATGCATCAAACTGCCTCTGGCAAGAAACCTCTGGCTGTTGAGACCACCAGGGATCTCCACCCACTTCACAGGTAGCTCAGGGGCCTACACAGTTCATTTCCCTCTTTGGGGTTCCAAAGGGCCGATGAAAGGCAAAGGTCCTCAGGAAGCAAAAAACACCAGAAACATACGCATCTCTGCTATAAAAGTTGTGGAAATTGATAAAAGAAACCTTAACTAAAGTGGAATTAGGAAGGCCTGTAGGGGGAGCTCTCAAGCTCTCAAGCCCTATCACACATCATCAATTACATCAAACAGGAAGAGATGGACGATTGCATCTTGTACAGGGAGTAAAACTACTTTACTATTGAAGGAAGATTTCTCACCCCACCGGACAATAGCCCAGCCAGTGAGAAATGCTGCAGCTCAGCCAATAAGCCATCGCTGCCCTAAACTGTTACTTTCTCCCATTGGACTTTCCTTTAGAAAGGCCCCACTCCTACTCCCCCTTTTTCTCTCTAGCACGCACATCCTGAATTGTAATTCTTTTGGCTCTTCCTGAATAAACTCATTATGAGGATAAAATAACAGGCAAATTTGCTTTTTAAGTTGACAAAGTAGCTCCCCCCTGCTTTTTTTTTCTTTTTTTGCAGTTTAGAGACTACAAAATATCAAGGTTGAAAGAGAGATGGAAGCTTGACTTTGAAGCAGTCTTAAACTTCTGAGGGACACTTGGAGAAGCTTGATACAACCCATGCTTGAAAATTCCGTGTTGACCCCTCATCCCTGCCATGGACATAAGTGCATGGTGTGTGTGTTACTGGTGGTGCAGATGGATTCTTTTCTCTCTGTCTTTAACTGAAATCTCTCTCAGGGGTTGGCTTACATGAGCTTTACTTTTTTTGTGCTGAAGAAAATTGGCCTTAAGCTAACATCTGTGCCAATCTTCCTCTGTTTTGTATGTGGATTGCTGCCACAGCATGGCTGCTGATGAGTGGTGTAGGTTTGAGCCTGGAAACTAAACCTGGGCTAGTGAAGTGGAACACGCTGCACTTAACCAACGGGCCACGGGGCTGGCCCCTACATTTTTTAAAAGACATTTTTGGTGGGTATTCAAAGGGGAACACATGACTGGCAGGCTAGCTCAAGTTGTAGGGGTAGCAAACTCAATACAATTCCTTTTTGGACATCAAGGACTAGGGGATGAGGGGCACAGCCTGGAGAAAGAAAGCCAAGAGAGGTCCAGGAAAAGACTCAACCCAATGAACAAAAAAGAAAGATGGTACCTAGAGTTGACAAGAATGAGAGGAAACAAGCAGTCTTGGTGCAGACATGAGAGTGTATACCCTCCTTGAGGGCCTTTCAGCAACACATATCGAATGCCTTAAAAGGCATCTATACCTTGGTTCTTAAATTCTACTTTTAGAATTTGCCTTTAGGAAATAGTCAGTGTTGTGAGCAGGGCATAGGCACCAGAATGTTCACTGCAGAATATTTATATTAGTGAAAAATTGGAAATGAATTAAAGATCCAGTAAAAACAGACAGCCTAAATTATGATAGATCTATTCTTTGGAATACTATGAGGTCATCAAAAATTATTTTGTGAAAGAATACTTAAATGATGTGTTCTACAGTTGAGGGTAAAAAGCTAAGTACAACAGGGTGCTGATAACGTTCTGTTTCTGTTTCTTGGTGCTGAATACGTGGATGTGTTAAGTCTGTGAAAAGTCATTGAGTTACACCCTTATGATATGTACTCCTTACTCTTTAATAAAAAGTTAAAAAGGCAGTTTTATAAATAGAAAGAACATTATGGTATAAATTATATTAATATATTTCATATATATGTATGTGTGTATATATATGAGTGTGTATACACACATGTATTTGAAAAAAGACTGCAATAGGCTCCAAAATGTCAGCAGTTTATCTCTTAGTGGTGTTATCATGAATCATTACCATTACTATGCTTTATAAATCTCCAATAAATAGGTATTTTTTTGAAATAGCCTCCAAAACTTTAATAAATGTTAATTAAAAAAAAAAGATGGTAAGAGGCATGGAAAGCTCCACACCAAATACAGAGGTCAAAGTTCCTTCTCCAGGACTTATGGGTTCCCCTGGGGGTGGGATATGACGTGGTTCCTACTGCAGGGCTGCTGGGCCAGCACATCAGGAAGCCCGGCCCTCACCACACGGAAGCCGGGGTAAGAGGGAGGCATCCCCTCTCTCTCAGCTCTGTCTGGGGGTCAGATACCTGTGTCCTGAAGCCCACTGCTCTGTCCTTCTGGGTCTGGCTTTTGCAGAGGCTCAGAACTAGGCAATGAGAAGTGTCCCCATCAGTGTCTGAGGTCTCTCAGACTCTAGCTGGGCTCGCAGTATTGCAAACTCAAGGACACAAGTGAGCTGGAAGCCAAGGCTGGACGGAATCATTACAGGTGAGGAGACTCAGTTTCTTTCTAGTGAGACTAGATTCACTCCTCCCTTGGGTAGCTTATGTAAGAGGCTCACAGCAGGATGTGGCCCTCTCTATTTGCTATCTTTCTGGGTCTCCTTGGAACTGTGAAGAACAATAGATTGGCACCTGGTGGGGTTTTTCAAAGGGAAAAATTCTCCAGAAAACATACCCACAGAAATCAACCCTACTTGATTCAAAAAAAAGGAAGGTAGAGGCAGGATGGTAATGTAACAGCAGTATTAACAGCTAACATTTGCGGACTACTTATGACCCAGGCACTGTCTCAGCACTTTACATATATTGTCCCATTTAAAAATTCCAACAGCTCTAAGAAGTAGATACTATTATGATTCCCATTTTAAAGATGAAATAACCAAGGTTTGAAGGCATTTAATAACGTATCTAGGATTCTTGCCCATGCAGCTGGCTACAGAGCCCACGCTCTCAGCTACCACACAATAGGACTGCTAAGGTTAGTGTCTCAAAGGGAAAGTGCGAGCGAGCCCTTGCGGGGGAGCTCTTCAGGATGCCTTGGAGGTGGGGCAAGACAAGGCGAGCATATATGAAAAGAGGGAAGATTTAAGGAGATATTATGATCCTTGCTCTGTGAGCAACATTTAACTTATTCTTGAGGATTAAGAAACAATCGCATAGCCATCTTGCTGGAATAAGTAGTGGAAAGAATATAGACTTAGACTCAAACTATGGCCCACGTTTGGATAAGTTAACTTAATCTCTTTGATCTTAATTTTCCCCAATTGTAAAATGGGGCTAATCAGAGCTATCCTGCAGATCTGTTATAAGGACTGGATTCAATGTGGGCAAACTTAAGCATGGTAACTGGGACATCATAGGTGCTGAATGAACGGAAGGATTGTTATCATACTTCCTTGTGCCTGGAGTGGGTGGGTGGATAGGATCTTCATTGACCCCACATGGACAAGCTAATGAATGGTGACTGAACAGAGAATGTGGGGACATAAAAAGGAAACAGGGTGCATTTTCATTTTGTACTGATATTGCTTTCATATGACTAAGTCCCTCCTAATTAATATTAAATTATAAATGATACTCAGTATTCCTGGAAATTGATGGAACTAAAATGAAAAGTAATGCAGAAGGAAAAACAATTTCCTCACCTCACAAAACATAGGCAACTTTTTGGCAAAGTCCACCACTCTTGTAATTGCTGGTGTGATGATTTTTGTAAAATGGCTGAAGGCTTCCAAGTCAACCTTTCCACCTTCTGGGGCATTTACTATTGGTGCTTGTCCAATATCTTCTGGCTAAGGAGGAGAACAAGAAAGATTTAAATGAAGAAGTTGAAGGGATCTTTATGTATCATAGTTCTCACAGGGCAGAAAAGCTCTTCTGAAATGCATACTGTACAGTGTCCAGTTTTCACATTGTTTATTAACAAACTGTACAGTTTTCACATTGTTTAGTTCTCTGAGCAAAGATATATGTGTTGGCCATTGCTTTAAGAGGCCCCTGTGATAATGTTCACAGGACTGTTGCTGCAGGAAGAAGGAAAGAGGGAGAGAGAGAGAAAGGGGGTGGGTAACAACAGGAATTTGGGTTCTGCTTCGGAATGCTCAAAGGGTGATACTTATGCCAGGTGACATCAATTCTAGGGGCTCTTGGTGGCGTTTTCAGAACACTGCACCTTCTGGTGTGTGTCTTTGTGTGGGAGGTGGGCACAGTGTGGGCAGTGATGGAGGAGCCCTGGCAAACAGCACTCTGGATTCATTCTTGCTTCTGACCCAGCTGCCGGGGCTCAAAGTTCCTGTTTGCCCGTCAGACTCCAGCTGAAGGAAGTCTCAGCAGGCTGAGGGGAAGATCTCTAGGTTGCTGATAGGAACCGAGTTGTGCAAACCTGGCAAACTTTAGGGCAGAGTAGGGAATTCACTAGTAGTCAATGTTCCCAGGGGACTTGCAGTTCATTTGCCCAAGAACAATCCATGCCCTTGCCGCTCACAGGGTGGCATAGCAGCTTGGGTGTCACCTGGGGACTTGTTAGAAATGCAGAATCTCAGTCCTCTCCACAGAGCTACTGGTACAGAATCAGTATATTAGCAAGGCCCCCAGGTGGTGATGCTCACCTTAGGCACCCCGATGTCCACTGGAGCTACCTAGCTCCTTAGCCCGGCGTTCCCTGACCACCACGGTGTGGCCTCTCTCATGTATCTCCTGTTGTCACCAGTACTTCCTGCCAGGAACAGTCCTCTCCATTGCCCTTTCTTGTCATTGTGATAATAATAATCACCATTTGTCTGTGGCCGACAAGCGAGCCAGGCCCTTGGAGCGCATGATCTCAGGTAGTTCTCACACAATTCCTGATTGGCAGATGAGCAAACAAGGGCTAAGGGAGGTTAAGCACAATCCCTTGAGGCCAGGATTGGGCTCTCAGTCACCCAGACTCCCACACAGCAATCTGCCAGGAGCCACACATCTCCCCCTTGCTTCCAGGATTTTACACCCTGTACACTTTTGACACCAGGGGGCAGAATTCCGCTCCTTATTCCTCCTCTTGCCAGCCTCTCCCATTGTCTTCCAGGAAGTTGTGAATGTGATGAAAGGGATCAGAGACTCAGGCCCCGCCGGATGGTGGCCACCTTTGCGTAGAGCCACAGTGGACAGACAGGAACTTGGCACCCAGGAGTGGGAGGTGGGGGAGGATGGGCAGAGAAGGCCAGGAGGTACTGGCACTGTGAGCAAGTTGAGCAAGACTGAATCCCTCACTTGCAGAGGTGAGGGCACTGCCAGTGACACAATTGTGGCCTACGGCTGTGGTCCCCAAACTTCACTGTGCCTCACAGTCACCCGACGGCTGTGCCCTACCCCCAGAGTTTCTGATTCAGTAGGTCAGGAGCAGAGCCCGAGAATCTACATCTCTAACAGTTTCCCAGGGCGTGCCGATGCTGCTGGTCCAGGACCACACTGTGAGAACCTCTGGGCTAGTAGTAACCATGTCCAGCTCTAAGTAATCCAGTTACCATTTTGCTTCCCACATCTCCCCTATTACTGCTCACATCTAATTTTCAGCACGAAGAAAAGCAAAGGATGATTCTTTCCCTCTCTTGTTGCCAGGGCACTGGGGTCAACAGGAGCAGCTGAGGCCCTCCAAGGGTGTGGTAGGAATCATAGTTAAACCCAGGGGAGGATTTTAAAATATATTACGTAACAAACTCTGGCAGCATTGACCTTCTTTTGATTATCCAGTAGGTTCTTCTGTTTATTTTATTCGACTTTTTTATTGTTTGTTTTGGGGGCAGTGAGTGGACAGGAAATAAACCTGGTTTCTGTCGTGTTTTCATAATCAATGGCGATGTTTGGGGTAACGGTTGGCATGGCAAGCCCGTGGAAGGCTACTGATCGGCTGGCTTTCCGGATGCAGATGCAATTAATGGAATAATCACATGCACAGCTTCCCTCTCTCTCTCTCTCTGTCTTTCTCACGTAGACTCGGCACCGGGGAAAGGTTCAGCAGTGCCTCCTTTGGGCACTGATGCTCCCTGCATCCCTCAGACCTCCTTGCTGGTCTTTATAATCCCTCCCACCCCAAAATGAGGCTAATCTCACCTGCCTTGTCCCCTTCACAACTCTGTTATGAAAATCAATTAATAAAAGGAATGTGGTCACACATTAAAAAAGGTAGGAAGTTTTATACCCACACACATATGGATACACAAATACACACACACATAAATGTAGGGTGAACTTTTTTAGAAATAAAAATAAAGCAAAAATATTTGAATAGCAATAGTTTTGGCCCAGTAGATCTAATAGAGCTATTGATATCCACTGATAGATCTAATCTGATTTTATTGAATAGTATTCAGTGTCCCTTGAAATGTGGTGGGTTAATATTGATGTTAATAATTTCCATTCAACTTTTGGGTTCATAGGGTCTTTGAATCACCATCTGTGATACTTCTGAAGGTTTGAAGAAAAGGAGGGAAATTATACAAGGAAATATGGCAATTTTAATTAAAATTAAACCCCCAAATGTAACAACCTCATAAGGTTTTCTGTTGAGAAAAATAAATTTCAGGGTAGGAAAAAAATTTACTTTTAAGCCTTTGGGTATTTAATGGAAAATACAATTGTTAGAAGTAAAATTATATACAAAATAAAAGCCTCCTATCACTAAGGTTTATCTCCATAAAGGATCTTGGATACTAGAAAAATTCATATAGTCTATGAATTGACCCGACTTAACACATCAGGTATGAGAAATTAAAGTTGAGCAATGAAACTTTGTGACTTCCTGAAGGTTTTTCAACTGTAAGGACAACACATCATTTGCTAAAATATTTGGTGGATGTGAAAAATGAAGAAGAGTAAGAATATTCAACATCAGTTGAATCTATTAGAGATTTTATTTAGAGCCAGTCGCTTTGTAATCCATTACATGAAGTACATTTGCTCCTACCACACATAAGTGTTTACGCACACAAGATCAAGCTCAGATACCGGTGATAAGTCTCTGGCTTGCAGATTCACCAGTGTGAACTGTGGGGAAAGTTTGCTTTTTGTCTCTGAGGATCAAACTGCCTTAGCTTGCTCATGGGGGTGCTTCCAATTCTCATTCTGACTTTCTTCCTCCCTGTGTACCCTAATGACCTCCTGAACCAGCCCAGATGACCTCTTCACATGTCCTCCCCAACTTGCCTTGCACTTTTCCATTTTGGGGCTGCCTTCCCTTTTGACTTTTGCTTTCTCCAAAGTCCCCACTTCCGTCTTATCTCTGCCAATTCCAAATCCGACCCAACTCAAACTCTAGCTTCTCCTTGAAGTCTTTCTAGATGACCTCAGTTTGAAATGATGTCTAGCTCATCTGCACACACATGGTGGCCCACGTACGTCACTCATATGGCATTTAGGCATTTATTACTATTACTTTTTATTGTGGTTATGTTGGTACACATCCAAGATATGGACTTCTCAAGGGGAGGGAATAAGCCTTAAAAGTATCTTTGCCTACTGTGTAGAAGGCATTGGGCCAAATGGTGGAGGATAGGATGCTTGTTGGTTGAGCGAGTGAATAAATGTATGTTCTTACATGTACTCAACCAATATTTATTAAGCATCTACTATGGGCCAGGCTGAGATCTAGATGCTGAAGTAACAGCAATGAATAATGTAATCTCAAGGAATTTTCATTGTAATGAGGGAAGATAGACAATAAAGAAAAAGAATACTTTCATGGAAGAATTTCGGTTTGTGATAAGACTGGAGGTAACATGATCGTACATGGGGGTCAGGAGATAGGGTGGTCAGCCAAAGCCCTTTTGAGAAGTGATGAGTGAGCTTTAAGTTGAAGAATATTAAGAAGGCAGCCTTCCATAGAGCCAGAGGAAGGACACTTAAGGCAGAGGAAAAAAAAACCAGTGCAAAGTCCCAAGGCCAGAAAGGAGGCTTAGGTGGTTACAGCCCAGAGATGGCATGAAATGAAGGATGGAAGGCAGGCAAGACAACCATGATGACGGGGTTGTGGGCCATGGAGAGGAGAGAGGTTTATTCTAAAGGCAATGGGGCACCACTGAAGGGCTTTAAACAGGGGAGAAGCGTGATGAGACTTATGTGGAGACGGGATGTGGGGAGCCAAAGGAAGAAACACGCATGCACAGCAGTGGTTTGGGCAGGAGCTGAAGTGGCTGGACCATAGGGAGGCGGTAGAGATGGAGAGAAGTGGAAGAATTCAAGACATATCTTGGGAGCTAAAGATAGGGATTTCTGATGGACTGGCTGCGGGGTGAGGGACACGAAGGAATCCAGAGTGTCTCCTCTGGGGCAGTGGAGGGGGTGGAGGGAGATTCAAAATGGGAGATTCGGGGTGTGTGCAGGTGTGGGCTTCACCCTGGCTCAGCATTAGAGGAGGCTGGTGTTACATGATCGAGACAAATTGGCTTTCTGCTCTGACTGCCTCGTCAGTGTTGTTCAAGGTGGGTAGGAAATGCTGCCAGTTGACCTCTTTGCAAGTCGCTGGCTCAGAGCTGAGGACTTCTTGACTTGAACCTGAAGCTCTCTGGCACATGCAGATGGGATGGGGCCAGACAGGGTTCTTCCCTTCCTGTGCTTGATCACTGGGTGTCTTCCCGCACCTTTGCAAGGAGGGGCAGGAAGGCCCAGACAAATGGTGATCAGAGGTCGCTGGGCCTTGGTGCACTACTCCAGGCTCTCCCTTTCCCTGGGGTGAGCAGGGACAGGATGGGGAGGGTGATGGTGGTAGGGATGATGCACATAGTAATCACTTCCGCGGTCGTTAAGGCTGCGCCGGGCA